TCCCATCCCTACAGCAGAAGTGAGGAGCTCACAGAGGGCACGGGCATGTCCCTTCTGACCCTTGTGAAGTGCTCACGTGAACATCGCTCAGCAGTGCTGCAGAGATGTGGATCAGGGCCAGAGTGAGAATGTTGGCCTGCTCTTTGAGTAAGATACATTGCTTTCCAGTTCCAGACTCATTCTGCTTATTTATAGCAGAGTAATGATAGATACTACCTCTCCTGAAATCTGTAAGTGTTCAAGTTTAAAAAATACCAAACCTGAATATTATGGAGGAGGCTTCTCTTCTCTGGAACTCTAAATAGCTCAGCTTGACAAAGAGGGAGCCTGGAGTGCAGACTTGTGCCAGCCAGCCTGTGCTCAAAGCACTAAGTGAAGTGAAGATTTTATCCAAATTCAGAGTGACTCGTGGTATCAGAAGTACACAGAAACTATGTAACAAAGTTATCCTTGAGCTTAAATTCTTTGAAATATCAAAGAGCATCCTAAAGTGGTCTTTGTGGTGCTGTTCCTTTATTTGTATGTGCATATAGCCAATACAGAGAAAGATGTGTTTAATGCAGTTAACAAGTTTAGGAGGTTTTAATCAATTTAGAAGAGGAGTTGAAAAAAGGAAAAAATAGATTAATGACAGTCTTAAGGGTAAAAATGAAATTTTAGAGACAGGTTTTTAAACAAGGGAATGCAAAGCTATCAAAAATAGGATGTAATATTAAGCTGGAAATTCAATTTCATACTTTTTCTGAAGGTAACTGAGCTCTCTGATTAGCAGCTCATATGAAAGTGGATTCAAATGAGGCAATTGAATTTATTATCACCTTTTGCACTATACTTACCTTCTCTAATACACTTTCCTGCCTTGAGGGTTAGAAGATGCATACTATTTGCAAATCATATCCTGATTAACCACCATTTTCAACCTGGCTCTGAACCACAGAGTGAACAGCTGAACCAAGAGAATCAGTAGACTGACAGGCACTTATAGAGGGGAAAAAAGATGGAGCACAATGCTCACATGTATGATCCCAAAACAATTGAATACCTATAAAAAGACAACTCTGAGCAAGTGATGAATAATGCCAGCTATTTTCCTACAATAGCTCTGTCAGTAGGAGTTCTTGTAGATGCCCTTTGGATGCAGTTTTATATTACACTTAATCCAATCTAACTGTGAGCTGCAACCAAAAGATGAGGTAATATTCTCTCTTTCCCAGCACAGGCTGTTGCTACCTTTGTTTGGAACACAATTGTCTCTTTTCATTTCAGCCTGCAGTTACACGAGAGTTAACAAAACCTGAAATTTTGGCCTCTGAAAGCAAATATGCAGAATTGAGCCTATTTGCCATCTCATTTAGAATATAATTTTTTTTTCTCACATTTTTGTCTGTGGACTTTTATAAACTAAGGCATTTCAGTGGAAAAAACTATTTCTTACAGCTTAGTGTACAGGCTTTCACTATTTGGATATTTTACTGGGAGAAAAACAATAAAAGGGCATGCAGAGTGGCTCCAAGAGGATTTGGAAAGATCAAAGCCTTCAGGTCTACAAGTAAAGAAACAAAACAGTCATTGCAATTGGACTGACATAGCTAGGACATAAGTTTATATAACAAAACATACACTGCACTCCTTAACTAAGCTGAGGTCTCCTCTGATTTTGAGTACTATCCTGATTAACACAGCACTTTTTCATAGCTTATCTTTTCACTTTGTTGCCTACAACATTACTGCATTGTGAAAAATGCATATTTTATGATTAGCTTTTTGCAAATGTTACAAGAACAGTTTATGCTGATATTGAAATAAAAGTCCATTTGAAAAATCCTGCACTATTCTCAGTCTTGATTCCTCAGGCAAATTCTACATAAAATTATTTTTCGAAATATAAATATATATTTTTGCCATGTTGATACTGGCAAAAATAGGTTAATGTTTAAAAGCATTATTATATTGAAACTGGTTCTCCCATTCTTAACTAAAGTAATATATTTAAGTATTTTTGAGATAATCACATACAATACAAAGGGCTGGTAAAATAGCTCTCCTCCCCTTTGTCTTGCAGCAGGAACATCCTAATAGAAAATGGTCTGAAATGCTTTGAAGAGGAAGGTATGGGGAGTTCTGTTGGCTAACAAGATGTATGTTACAAGATCCTCAGAGAACCAACTGCTGCTTTTATGTTCAAAATGAGGATTATATCCGAATTTGCATCATTAACAGCTCAAGAGACCAAAGGAACGATATACAAGTAAATAGGCTTTTGTGTATCCATGAGAAAGAGGGACTTGAAGGCTACCTTCCTTTGTAGAACTGCTACAGTGCCTTTCCCACCTTCTTTTGCTATTAAGGGAGTTCCAGCTGCCATCATCAAATGACAGAACATCCCACGGTGTGAAAGAAGAACTGAAGGAAGACACCAGTTCATCTGCTGCCATTTGTTCCCATGGTGGGCTAAGTGTTTGAAAGGTTTGTGATTACTTCATGCGTAGTGGCTCCTGCTGTCCCCAACAAAACTTATGAGGACACTTCGCCAAGACCATGTTGTACTGCCAAGAATTCTTTATCTAATGATCACATTTCTGTTTCAAGCCCTGCTTCACCTCAGCCAGCCTCCTGAATTTTACTGGGTGAAGGATGGAACATTTTGTTTAAATAATTTAAATGTGTACAATACATAAAGCATTAATATTTTCACTGGAGTAGACCAACCCTGAAGTTGCTCCCTTGAGGCACAGTAATTCACAAAGAAGCTATTGATGACCACAAGAAAGAGGAAGACGTATTTAGCAAGTCTATCCATGGAAAGAATGAAAACACAACAAAAATGGAACAGAACAGCTTGCATAATATTTAGTCTCCTACATTGCCTACAGAATTTACTTAGTAATATGCATACAAGAATAACAATTATCATAATCTATTCTGTAAATGACTGTGCACAGTAAATCTAGCAAGTCAAACTATTAAAAAGGGCTCCAAAGTGGAAAAAACTCCTGAGCATGAAACAGCATATGGGGGTCCAAGGGCTTCACTTCATTATCACAACAAGCAAAGCAGAGGCTGATGTTTTTTCCTGCCTCTTCAAAGGCCCCACACGAGATCGTTCAAATGCTAGTGGTAATCCCTGAGGTGGTTCTGATGACTTTCATTCATATTTTATTATCTTGCCTTTTTAAACTACCTATGGATAATACTCAGATGAATATAAAACATTCAATTGCATATGACCTACTATCTGCTGTTATTTTTTAATCTGATCATTAGGATAGCAAGGCTTAGGTTGTCTTGATTTCAGCAGCTTTATTTAGCATGGCCAGAAGTGGTGACTGTCACAGCGCTTCACTTTACTCTCTAGAAGACTAGTTACTAAATCAGTTCACCATTAGGGAAGTAAGTGAACCCAAACAGATCTCAATACTTTAACAGCATCTGTATGGACTGTGAGAAATCCAGAAAAGTGGATTCTCTTTGCAAAACCAGTCAATCATTTCATTCACCAGTAATTTGTGCATTCATAGATGTGAACATGTACTTTTAACCTGTGATAAATGTAGTAGTGTAAATCACAATTGTAACCAACACTAGAAGTTCAATTAAGATCCCTTGTTTGTATGTTCCTAACTACCACCTCTAAAATGTTTGGGGTTTTTTTGATGTTTTTTTTGTTTTGTTTTGTTTTGTTTTTTTGTTTTTGTTTTACCAAAGGGCTCACAATCTGCTAGTTCATTTAACCTGGAAACTTCAATAAAAACCCTTTAACCCTTTTCCGTCTTCCAGAATTAACAGCAGGAATGACACAGGATCTGCAGCTGACAAATTTATCATTTCACCAGTTGGATAACGACACCAGGAATAACCCAAGCATCTCCATATCTGAAATCTATCTAGACTGTCAGCAGGTGCGCTCCACAACATATGCCTTGTTTTGGATCTCCGATTTTTTATCTATTTTTTTGTCTATTCATATTTCTTTTCCATGGGCACTTCAGTGTGGGATTGCTAGACAGGGATGATCTGCACACAGGTCCAGGACCCAAGATGAAGTCAGTACTTTGGATGCCAATCCAAACACTGTGAAGTATTTCCAGTCATGAAACAAGAAAACTTGAGTCATGCTAAAAATAACATTTTTATTCATTGCAGTGATGTTTTTACATTATTTTAATTCAGTCTGAGATGCACAGGCTTCTTATTGTCAGCTTTTGATAAAGTAAAAAAAGCAGGTTTATTTTTGGATGTGGAACACAATGTACAAAGCAGAACATAACCTATTATGTAGAGCATTATGTGCACTGCGCTTCATATACCAGGAGATGTTTCTAAAAATCACCTGGAGTTTAAACATGGATCTGGGTAACAGAACATTCATTCAAAATTAATTTGAAGCTGTCCTGCAACCCTAACAGTTCAAAATGCACAACAAAAACAAACAACACCGAAAGAAAGAACCCCGATTGACTTGACATTAATTATCTTCACTTTGTGACGTTAAAAAGAGTGCTCTGCGGCAGCACAGCAGAGCCGTGGCTAAATGCAGTTCGGCGTGTGCCTGTTTTGTGTCCTTGCCGCACATTTCACTGCGCTCCGGAGCCCGGCGCGCCCCTGCTTTGAAGGCGCAGCGCGGTGCTCATTTTCAGCCGACAGCCACGGGCCTCGGCTGCTGAGCACCAAGGCGCTGTGACTGCGCTGGAGCTCCCTTCCCGGAGCGCGGCGGAGCGGCACACCGGCCTGCGCCCCGCAGCGCCGACACCGACACCGACACCGACACCGACACCGACACCGACACCGACACCGACCTCACCGCCCGGCACGGTGCGGCCGGCGCAGCCCCGCCGAGCCCAGCAGCGCGGAGCAGGGCCGGGCCGGACGCGGCAGCAGCAACGCGGCCCCGCCGGGCGGGGAGCGCCCGGGGCGGGGCGGGGCGGGGCGGGGCGGGAGGAGCGGCCCGGCGCCGCCGCCGGCGGAAGCCCCGCCGCGCCGCCGCGGAAGTGACGGCCCGCTCCGCCTCCCCGCTCCCTCCCCCTCCCGGCGGCGGCTCGGGAGCCGGGCGCGGCTGGCGGCGGCCCCGGGCGGGACCATGGCGGACGGCGTGGACCACATCGACATCTACGCCGATGTGGGCGAGGAGTTCAACCAGGTACGCGCGGCCGGCGGGCGCGGCCTCTCCGCTGCGCTCCCCTCCCTCGCCCGCCTTCGCGGCCGCGCCGCCTGCAGGGCCCTCAGCGCGGCGGCCGCAGCGCCGCCATTGTTCGGGCGCTCCCGCCGCCGCCGGGCGCGGGCCCGCGCGGGGCCGGGCGGGCGCGGCCCCCCGCCCGGGCCGCGGGTGCCGGCGGCGGCCCGGCCGGGCGGAGAGCGCGCCCGGCGCTGAGGGGCGGCTGTGCCGGCGGGCTGGGCGCGCCGGGGGCGAGCGCCTTCCTTCTTTCCTTTCCTCGCTGTTCCGTTTCTGCCAGCCTTCCTCCCTCTCTGCCTTTCTTTCTCAGGGCCGCTCCGGAGGGCTCTTCCGCGCCGGCTTGGCGGGCGGGGCCCTCCCGGATGCGGCGGGGAGAGCGGCCCCTTCCCGCCGGGGCGCAGGGGAAGCGCTGCCATTGTTCGTAGATGAATCGAAAAGCCGCCGAGCGGTGTCTGTTCCTCGGCCGCGCTTTGCGGGGGAGGCGGAACTAGTGCGGCTTTATTCTGCAGCACTGGAGAGAGTATCCAGCTTTTTGTATTTCCTTTTTTGTTTTTCTTGCTTGTTATTCCATTCTAAAAAGTGACACAAGCCTTTTTTAGAGGGTGAGTTCATATTTTGTTGAGGCAATATAGATGAAATATGAAACTTCTCTGGATTATAAGTAGTCCTCTTTTTTTCTAGGTGTGTTTGGTTTTTTTGGTTTTGTTGTGGATTTTTGGTGTTTTGTTTGTGTTTTTCCCTCATCTTTACCACACAGCCGTGTGCCAGCTTTCCTACCTAAACGCGATGGTTGTATGAGTTTTGCATGCCATCTGTCCTGTTAGCGAGTGCTGCACTTCTCCAGGTTGAGTTGCCCCAAATTGCTTTGTTCCTACCCTAGAGCATAAATAACCGGGAACAACTGCACTTTCAGGAACTTACGGGGCCCGGCTGTATGCCAGCTTGCCCTACAGAGAACTGGGAAATAAGCAATGGCTTTGGAATTCATAGGGAATATGTAACTTTCTCAGCAACTTGTAGCTTTTTTAGAAGACTATTTCTTCTGACATCGATTAATACAGTAATTCTGAGTATTAATAATCTCATAAAGGTGTACTCAGAAAGAGTGCCATACTAAAAGGAGATGATGAAAAGCACTGATTTGCTCTTATTTTGTCTGTATGTGAAGGTTTCTCCCTTACAGTTGAAGACCCACTGTATGAATTTAAACAGGAATGAACCCTAGGGCAGACACCATTCAGCAGAAGAGTACATTTTTGAGGTTCTATGATAACTTGAATTTGGTTTAATCAATTCTAAATAAAACTGAAAACAAAGGAGATTTTTCAGAGAAAAAACCCTCACTTGAATCTGGTAGTGTTTGTGTAAATTCATGTGTGCAGAAGGGCTCAGAGTAGAATAGTTATGTGCTGTAAGAGATAGTGCTGGAACAAAAGTGATGGGGATGATCTGTTTCGCTCACACGGTCCTGGTCTACTTAGGTCTCAGGTAGTCATTACTGTTGATATTCTATATAACCATGGTGTTACAAATGAAGAGAGTCTTGTGATAATTTAGTTTAGCTTAATCCAGCAGGCAGGGAACCCTTTTGCTTTTTCTCTGTATTCACTCCAGTTGCTTCCCTTGTGGGTTTGCATTTCTGCAGTTTGTTGTTTCAGTTCATAAATCTTGCAAAATACAGGGCAGAAAGGTGAGAAGAGGCTACTGCCCTTTTTCCATCAGCTTAAATTTGGGGGTTTTGTTTGTTTGTTTTAGGGGGTTTTCTTCTGTGTTTTTGACTGTGGCACACACCCCCAAAAATTGCTGTTTGTTATTTTCCAAATTTAATTTCTGTGACTTTTTATTTAAAGTAATATTGTTGAACTGAGTAAGTCTGGAGACAATATAAAAGTTTTATTTTTGTAAAATTGTGAGAGATTGATGCCTCTGCACTTTGGCATTTCCTTCTGTCATATGTGAAAGAGAGTTGTATTAGTTACTGCCTCTTAATTCTGACATCATTGAGAAAAGGTGTGTAGAAACTTTTATTAACAAAGTGCTGTTCCTGATTTGAAGCTGACAGCTTAAATGGATAATACAGAATTATGTGGATGTGTTAAGATGACAGTTAAAAATGCTTTAGGAAGAAAGTGATTTCCATTATTAATTTGATTTTGTATTTTTACGATTTATGCATTTTACAAACACCATATTTGTAAAATAAATTGGTTTTATCTGTTAAATGAACTTGATTTTTGATTTTGTTGTTCTACATGAATGTGACGTACTAATATTTTTTAAATTGGAGTATAGAAACCCTTTCCACTAGTTTTGGCAGGGACTGAAAAATGTGCTGTGGAGGTTGCTGTTCTTCTCTATGCAGTACATAACTGTATTTATACCCAAGCTGGGACAAGACTTGTGTTTGCATCTGGAGTTAACCCTTCATTTAGATTTAGGACTTATTAACTGGATAAACTTCCCTTGGTTATTTTGTCTTGTTCTACACCTCAAGGTACTCATCCTTGAGGCTCTTCTGGGATTTTTTTAATGCCTTTTTCCAAGTAGGTGGAGGGTAAGGTTGTTCTGCTTGATTAGTGCTAAATGAACCATAGGTTATAAAGGTGAAATAAAGACCACAGAACCATGGGTTTACAAGCTGGCTAAGATGGATGATAGCCATAAACTGTCATGGGTTGTATTTAGTTTTGGTTACAAAACTTGATAAAAAATCTTTTGAGTGAAGATGCATCTTTCCTATTCCAGCTGAACCTCATTGTCTGTCAGTGTTGCCTCTTTTATTAACTTGTTGTTCATGAAAGTAATACTTTTTGTTCTTGGGCTAACAGCATTAGTCAATTTGGCTCTGACCAATTACAGTTTTGTTTAAATTGTGGTTTCTTTTTTTTGTCTTGGAGAACTTGGTTGAGTAATTTTTCATTTTTCTTTTCTTCTAAGCCGACTTCCCCATCCAGCAGTCTTATCTATTTATTTAAAGTCTCATTTTGAGATTATAGCTCATAAATGTAGTACTTCCTGCATGCATTGCTTTTGCCCTGTTAGAAATAGGTATTGCATGGAATATTTTACCTTAAGCATCTCCTTACATGTTACACATCTTGCTCTTCAGGAGAGGCAGATCTGTGACGCTTGTTAGAACTGTTACCTGCATACAAATAGCTGGGGATGGTATTCTTTCAAGGGTCTTCTACCCTCAGTAAGTTTGGAGTGCTTTAGGAAATATTAGGGTGTGGTTTTATACACAAAACCCCAGAATATTGCTGTGTGGTACAGAGATAATAAGGAACTTGTGCAGAAGGCCAGTTTGTATCTGACTTGACGCTGCTGCCAGTTTGGCCAGCAAACTGGGTTGCTTTTTTATGGTCATGAAAATTTGACCATGTGTTACCAGTTCCCTGATGCCCTGATCAGCTTTGCATTTTCATGCTTGGAGGATTTTTTCCCCACATGTCCTCATGCATGTAGTTAAACAGTAAAAACTTTTATTATACACATGTATACATGTAAAAATCTTTCTGGTCAGAAAGAGGATGCAAAAGAATTTAAGCATATCATATTTTAATGCTGTGGAAAAGGTGCTTGCTTTGTTTATGCTCTTAATGAGTAAACTTGGGTAGTTGAATTGTGGATATGTCTAGACATGCCTGTAGTGTTCTATTTTGATTTTTAAATGCTAACAAATTAGGGATGAAAGACTTTTCACTTTGTATTTTGTAACTGGGTAATAAATCTGATTTAGATGGACTAAACAGTTAAGAGGCTAATTATCTGAAAATTACAGTATCTTAGTAATGTGTTAGTTACTGTCTTGACTTCAGATCTGTAACACAAAGGAAGTTTTTTTGTGTGTGATAAATAATAAAAGCTAGCATTTAGTGGCCAGTTAAAGCCAGTTATTAAGAACAGCCTTTATATCAGAAAGAGAGGTGTCTTATCATGGGAGGGGATTGTGGTATAATAAATTTCTACTCCTTAGGGCTGTCCTAGTCAGAAAAAAACATAAAGTGACAGACCTGCATGTGTTATAAAATATGTCCACAACATGTGATGGCGTATACATTTTGTCAGTTCTGCTGAAAGGGGCCATGGAAAGACATAACTTCTGTATATATATTTTTGTTTTGTAAATATCAAACTCCAGAAAAACTTCAGACCTTCTTACCTGGCACCTCTTCATTTTGTTTTAATGTGAACAGTGATGCTATGTATGTTTAGTTTGTATTTTTGACTACTTGTGAATGTTTAGTTATTTTTTGTAACTCTGTACTTACTCTGTAATTTTTAGTTACAAGGGATCAGGTTGCTTAAATTTTAGTGCTGTGCCGTTTAGAGCCAAGAGCATTTGGGCCTGTAGAGTAAACGTGAATCCTATGGTCTAGCAAACTTGTCCACTTCTGCCATAGGCAAGTTTGCTATCTGAGAAGTATCAAAGACCGCCTTTTTTGTTAATGTTCCATTTTGTATGTTCAGACAGGTAATCAAGACCAGAAAGATTTTTGTTTATGTCTTTGTTATTCTTCAGGATCTACAAATTTATTTTTTTAAATGAGGATGCTAACATGTGTTTAGAGTTTTTGACCACAAATATGGTAACTTGAGTGAAAAAAACAATAAGGGGGGGAACTGAATAGTTTAGGTTTTATCTTTTTTTTTCCCCAGAATTAACAGTAAATGTTTCTCATGAAACTTTATTTACCTCAATTTTTTAAATGTGGGGTTTTTTTCGCAATGTAAGTTAGTGTTTAACTCTTAAATTGGACAAAGGTCTGCAGAAAAGGCAAGTCTAACAGACATATGGACACCTTAAAGAAATTTTACGTAACAACAACAAAAGCCATTTCCAAAACAGCACTTGTAAAGGAAGTAAGTGGTTCTCTGCAGCTAAGAGGAGCATGACCACTAAGTTCCAAATAAGAAATAACACGTTAAGTTTGTCCCTCCTGGACATGAAGTTCATCGTGTTCATG